CGAAAGACTTTTATCGAGATCTATATGCAGGAAAAATAGTTCAAAATAAATAAAAAGTAGTTCTCTCAATTCTCAGCAAGAAAGTTTTGGGTTCAAATTCTGGTCGGAACCCGTTTGTGTACGTTTCCTCCGGGTGCTCCGGTTTCCAACCCAACAAAATTAAGTGATATTTTTTACTTGATGTTAACATCTATAACTGTGCAATTTCTATTTTTCATTTAAGGACAATACAAATCAAGACAGACAAACAGAAATGTAAAAATAACAAAAAACATGAAGCAAGGACAAAAGGGACAAACGAAGACACCAGAAGAAAAACAGACTGCTTCCCACATCCAACCAGGAAGACCCATTATAATCTTATCCCAAAACAAAAAATAATGTTGCCACTCCTTAATGCCTAATTCTTTATTTATGCTTTAGTGATATGAGTCATCTATCTTTTTATATGAGCTTTAAGTTATACAGGATTTCTAGTTTGTTTGCAGACATGGGCTGGTTAGTAAACATTAGCATTGTATAACTGGAACCAGTGAGAGGCATTTCCTATTTGCCTCACACTCGATTTCAATCAAACTGCAAATAGAAGGACCATCTGTGTAGCCAAGCCACTTCCATTTGGCAAACAACAACCGGCCGCAGACGCCGACTGACCTCAGCCTAACGAAGCGCCACTGCTTTTCCCTCAGTGGCCACACAATATGAACACGGCGGAAACAGAGACGTGGATGAAAGCGTGGCGGCGTGACGAAGTGACTCAGAGAAGCTTTGTACTCCCAACTTCAAACGCATCACGGGAACCACAGGGGATATAGAACCTTGTCCCTGCCCACTCCTCCATCGCCGCGCTCTCATTGGTCAAGGGCAGTGTGCAGAGGCGGGCTCTACCTTGACATCACTGCAGTTCAACATAAAAGGGAAAGGAGATCTAAGCAGGAAACCTTGACTGGAATGCAAATAGCTCTACCTCAGAAGCGGGGATGTCCTAACGCGACAAAGTGTATTCTAAATATAGAAATCACAAAAATGATGAGCTCTCACTGCAGTTCTTTGTTCCTGGAAACCTCTGTTATTTTTTTGTTTTGTTTTTTTTGCCTGGAATGAATCCTGAATAACTAGTGAAAGCCAGGTTCGGAGGAGAAAAAAAATAAACTAATCATTTTGGTTTTAATCCTTATAGCTTGTCTTTCCCCACCACCGAGTTAGTGATCGAGCTATACCAGTCTTTTCCTTTGTCCACCTGCACACAGTTGTTGGCCAGGTTAATTAAGAAGCACATGTACAGGGCAGGAGAAATCTGCTCCTATTCACCACAGTCTCCCAGTGGACTGACGGATTTAACTCTACAAGAGCCTCTGACACCAACACAAATGACATCTGCTGCCATGGGGGAATCCTTTCAAGATGCCAGAAATGCACAAAAAACAAAACATACGTAAACAGGAAAAACACCAGCACATGTTTTTGTTTTGTTTTAAATATTTTATGAATTCCACTCTGTTTGAATTCTAGTGCTACTTCCGAGCCAAATAATAATAATGCATCAGTTTTATATACAGCGCTTTTATTGGACCCTCAAAAACGCTTTACGTGCGATTATTCTTTCACTTTATACACAGTAGTGATAAACTACAATTGTAGCCACAGCTGCCCTGGGGCACACTGAAAGAAGAGAGGCAGCAGTATGTATGTGCCATTGGCCCATTCGACCACCACCAGCCATTCACACACACACACCAGGCTCATTCTAGGCAATGAGGATGTTTTGTCTAAGGACACAACAACAGTTTGGCACTTTACAGCCGCAGCCGCCCCACTGGTGTTCCCAGATGGTTTCCCATCACAGACCCTGTCCTGCTTAACTTCAGAGGTCTGATGGGATCTGGCTTTCTCATGCAAGTATGGCCCAAAGAAAAGTATGCAATGCCGATCCAACACAATCCATATCGCTGTAAAGTAAGCCTCTGGTCCAATCAAATCAAATACAAACTCACCTGCAGGTGAGTTTGTATTTACCAGATCCACGAGTAACTAATGAGTCAGAAGAACCAGGGGTATTTATGACAAGAGTCCTCCTTGTCACCCCTTCTCGAGACTGATAATAGTTGAGATTGAATCTTTTTTTACAATTTGAGTTGGAGTGAAAAGAAATGTTAATTAATGATTTTAATGCCATCTTGTTCAGCACTTTGAGTTGCCTTGTGTATGAATTGTGCTATACAAATAAACTTGCCTTGCCTTGCCTTGCGTTAATATACATACATGACAAACTTTAATAAATGATTTAATGACAACTTAAATCCAAACTTATAACTATTGGTTAAGAAAGGATTTACCTTGTTACATACTTGACAGGCCTCCTCTCTGACAATGTTTAAGACCAGGTTAAAAACGGTTCTGTTTAGCTGTGCATACAACTGAGGGATTTTATATTTTTATCTTTCTTTTTAATGTTCTGTGATTATTTATGATTTTAATGCTTTCTTGTTTTGTTCAGCACTTTGAATTGCCTTGTGTATGAATTTTGCTATACAAATAAACTTGCCCTGCCTTGCCTTGCCTTACTTACTTAAAATGACTTGTTTTTGACCGTGCACATACTGGGCCTCATTTATGAAACTTGTGTACGGCCAAATCAGGGTGTAAATGAGGCGTACCCAAAAAATGTACACTTTTCGGCTTTTATCAATCTGGACGTGGGCGAACGGTAAGTACAGAATATACGCCAAGTCTGGAGATGGTGTAAATGTGTACGCTCATTTCAACCTTCATTACAACACGCCAAAACACACATGAAATTCAACATTTGGACAACAATAAACATGTTCCCGGTCTGGCAAAATTATAAGCTGCGTTTTCATTGAGCATCACATTTTGAATTTTGAATTTGCGCATCAGTCTAATGGAAACACGCAAATGTCATAATAAATCACAGATCATGATACGTTCATGATGAGGACCCTCTTGTCACGTGGGTGAAAAACAATGAGACCCAAAATGCAAAACTGCAAAAAGTAATGGATTTAATAAAAAGATGAAACAAATCCAAAAACACCAGGAACGAGGACCAAACTAAAACAGACAAGGAATGACAATGATGGAACAGGGAGTGAAGGAACACACAGGGCTAAATACAAGACTTACGAGACACAGGTGAGACACATGAGGGCTGGTAAGACAGGAAGAGCAACCAAAGCAGACACAGGGATATAACAAACTACAAAATAAAACAGGAGATAAATCTAAACCATGACACCTCTTCTGTTTCTTTGGTTTTAAATCTGACTTGTGTGTATTATTTTCATTTGTATGTTTTTTAAATGTGAAGTGCTTTGTGATCCTGGCGCTACAAATACACCTGAGTGACTAACTCCGTAAATCTGTGGCAGGTTGCGCTGCGTAATTACTAGGGCTGTCCAAAATAGCGCGTTATTAACGCGTTAACGCAAATCAATATTAACGCCGTCATTTTTTTTATCGCGCGATAAAAAAAATTATTATTATTATTATTTATTTTATTTTTTTTATTTTATTTTAATTAATTAATTTATTTTTCCTCCTTCTCCCCCTAAATCAGTCTAAATCTATGTGATGCATTAAAAAAATGAGCCTGGGCATGGTAACCTGCCCTCCTGCGGGGCCCCCGGAAGACATTCCGCTTGTAAACCGGAAACAAAACAATAGGTACGCCCCCCCACGCAAATGTTTGGTCTGGTCTTGCCTGCTCGCTAGCGGTAAAAGTCAAGCGCGAAACGCCAAAATGGAGGTAAACAAGCTCCTAAATGGAAAGTTTAGTTTCAAAATGTTGCCAGATGGGTCGACTGACAAGACTAAAGTTATTTGTGTGTATTGCCGGTGCGAACTTAGTTATCACCGTAGCACATCCTCTTTGAAATACCACTTGATGGCCAAGCACACCGCTGATGGGAAATCTGCGCCGCCTTCCTCTCCAAACCAGGTCACAATCGATGGCTTTCGACAGAGGCATATGGATGCCGCAACTAAAAACAAACTTATTGCAGCCATAGCCAAATGGATAGCTACTGCATGTAGGCCCGTCAACATTGTGGAGGACGAGGGTCTAACTGAGATCATACGCATCGCATCCAACGACTGGACATATGAAGCCCCTTCGCGTGCTACCATTACAAGACGCATCGAGAATTTGTACGAAACTGAGACGTCTAAGGTACAGCATGCGTTGGAGCAGACAAATGAGGTCGCGCTGACTGGAGATTACTGGACATCCCTCAGTAATGATAACTACCTCGGAGTCACAGCCCATTATTTCGATCCACAGTGGGAACTTCATTCGCATGCTTTGACTGTTATGAAGACAGAAGAGAGGCACTTCAGCGACGCTGTTGCAGAGCATTTCATGAAAGTAGCCAGAGAGTGGAATATCGAACACAAAGTTGTCTCACTGACCACGGATAGTGCACGCAACATGATTGCTGCGGCCAGACAGCTCCCTTTTGAACACATGCCGTGCATCGCACACAGTGTGCACCGAGCAGTCACGGTTTCTCTACATAACAGCCCATTTGACAACGCATTGGCAAAATGCAGAAAAGTTGTTGGGCACTTCAAGCATAGCCCAGCAAATGCCGTGGAGCTCGAGCAGACAAAACCGCACACCATCAGAAGACCGAGTCACTCACACAGGACGTGTCAACAAGATGGAATAGTACCCTAGAAATGATCAAGCGTGTCCAGCGGAATGCTGAACCCCTGAGAGATGCACTGGCACTACACAAAACCAACGTCACCATGCCAACAGCAACTGAACTGGAGAAAATGAAGAAGCTTGAGGCTGCGTTGGAGCAGTGCAGGTAATTTCTTGTTTATTTGTTTCTTTAATAATCGAGTGAGTGATATGTGAGTGAAACACTAAAGAGCTTCTTAATATTATTGCAGGTATATATCTGAACTTCTGGGTGGAGAGAAGTATGTTTTCTTGCTCAGTGGTGCTGCCAGCATTGTGTCATCTGTCCCGAGTGATGGAGGTCACTGAGGACGACCCATCCTACATGATCAAGTTCAAGGAAACCTTCACAGCAGACCTGGAAGCTCGCAAGGAGAAGACCAATGTTACATGGCTGAGAGTTGCGACAGCACTTGACCCAAGGTCAGATTGCCATACTACATACTCCTCATTCTCAGTATTGTGTTTCTCTCTAGTCTGTTAGTTTTGGGTTGCTTCTTTTTACTTCCTTTTTTACTTTTCGATTTTAAATTTGGCATAATAGAAATAGGGGTACTGTCACAGTTTTGTTATACCTGTACTTGCATAATGATAAAGTTTAATTTAATATAATTTCATTTCAAGGTTTAAGGACCTCAAGTGCCTAAGCAAACCTGACAGGGTTCAGGTGTGGGATTCAGTCCGCGCCTTGCTCCAGAGGATGGAGAAGGAGAAGCCTGCACAGCCCGATAACCAAGTCACACCTGAGCCGGCCACGAAGAAACCAGCTCTCTTGCTTGCACCAGAGTCTTCGTCTGATGAAGAGGAGGACAGTATTGAGAAATGTCTGGAGCGCTACAAGGGAGAGCCTCTCATTGGCATAGAGGACTCTCCTCAGGAATGGTGGCTCACACATGAAGCTTCACACAGTGAGATAGCCCGCCTTGCACGCAAGTACTTGGCAACACCTGCCACATCAGTACCTTCTGAAAGGTTGTTTTCACTGTCTGGACATGTTGTTCAGAAAAAAAGAGCTTCTCTGTTGTCTGAAAATGTCAACAGGCTTGTCTGCTTGAGTAACTGGCTCAAAGAAAAGAAGTAGTAGGCTGGCATATCTTTTAGGTAACTGTTAATGTTCTTTTTGCACAGAAATATGAGGCTGGGTTAATAAGCCTCTGGTGAATAAACAGAAGAGCAGTACAGTGTTACTGCTAGTTCAAAGTAAAGTTTAAGCCATGGTTTAACTGCACTATAGGCTGAGTCCTTGTTTACATTGATTTGCACTTTGCAACTTTATTTTGTATCACCCTTTGTTGAAGGGGCTTTTTGTTACCAATTATTTATTTTGTCATCCGTTTATTGATGATTTTGCATCACATGTTATTGTGTAATAGAACGCTACACATTGTTTTCAATAAAAAAAAGCAATTGCACGCCTATTCACTTTTTAGTAGTATTAAAATGATAATTCAAGGGACATAAAGAATAGATACAAATGTGTGACTAATTTGCGATTAATCGCGAGTTAACTATGAAATTCATGCGATTAATCGCGATTAAATATTTTAATCGTTGGACAGCACTAGTAATTACGCATATGTTTTTCCTCATTCACCTCTGGCAAAGCAATGTTTTTTCCTTAATTTTGTGCATATAGCCCCATAAACGCAGTGATAGTCTCACTCAAAACTTTCTCAGCCACCGCCCTGCACTCTGCATGTAGCAGTATATAGACAGGATAGTGGCTCTGGGCAGCAGGTGCCAGGAGAGGTCCCACCGCACCACTGCTCAAATTCAGAGATTCTCTGTGAAATTACGGACGCATACTTTCTCTCTCACAGAGATCACTGAGGTGAATATATTAATATTCATTCATTCATTCACGAAGTGATTGCTGCAGTGGGTCTAGGCACTAGGCAAAAAACGTATACATATATATATATTTCAATTTGGAGAGACGTGAAACAAGAAGCTTTTGAGTATTTTATTTAGGAGGAGGTTTTGGCGCCCTAGGCCCCGGTGCGGCCTTCAGAGCGGAGGGCCTCCATGCGAAGGAGCGTGCCAATCCCCCGGGACCTAGGCACTGGTGGCGGCATTTGGCAGCGGGAAGCAGGTTGAAGGCGGATTGAAGGCAGGGTGAAGAGGAGGAGGAGGGGAGGCGGTGGTTGCAGGCTTTGAGAAGGCAGAGAGTGGGGGTTTCTCCGCTTTTAAGCGGCTGCCTGGCCGGTGATTGGAAGGGGGCGTTTGCAGCGCGATAGGCTGGGGATGAGAACCGGCCTGGAGGGGTTACCTTTGGCTGACGTCTACCAAATTGAACTTTCGCTGGCTGCATTTCAATTTGGAGAGACGTGAAACAAGAAGCTTTTGAGTATTTTGTTTAGGAGGAGGTTTTGGCGCCCTAGGCCCCGGTGCGGCCTTCAGAGCGGAGGGCCTCCATTCGAAGGAGCGTGCCAATCCCCCCCTGTGTTGATGGAATTTTTTGCAGCCTGGTTTGGAGGGGACAGAACGACGAGACTACTCTATGCTGTGACCGCTATCGCTATATGCTGTGACCGCTATCGCTATATACTGTGACCGCTATCGCTATATACTGTGACCGCTATCGCTATATGCTGACGACCATCATGCGCTAACCATTTTTTGCTATATACTGTGACCGCTATCGCTATATACTGTGACCGCTATCGCTATATACTGTGACCGCTATCGCTATATACTGTGACCGCTATCGCTATATACTGTGACCGCTATCGCTATATACTGTGACCGCTATCGCTATATACTGTGACCGCTATCACTATATACTGTGACCGCTATTTGCTGTGACCAAACTTGCGGATACTCAGCTGCAGCCGCCACCAGGAGTTTAGCGAGTGTTTTATGGAGATGCAAAAAGCCGCTGGGCTGCCAGGATGGTCGAGGTGTCAGGCCTGATGTATGAGGAGAGGGCCGATGATGACCAGCGGCCCAGCTGCTGAAGGGCGGAATGGGGGAGCCCCAGTGACGCGGCGCGCGTGGCAGCGCCTATCCGAGAGGAGTGGGCTGTGTAGAGATGGGGAGACAGATTACAAAGCAGCAGTACGTACTTGAGTTGGGCTCTGAACCAGTTGGGGGACATAGGGAGGTTATCAGGGGTAAGAAATGACGGTCCGTTGAGATCTCCTTTCCGAGAGCGGAGGCGAGTGTAATGCATCATGGATCGTGACAGCAGAGGGCGGAATGAGTGGAATGCAGTGGCGTGACAGAAGCTGGAGTAGACTTTCCACGCGAAGCTGTATGATTTCAGTGTGGAAGGTGAGAGACCCATCTTCATGTAGGATGCAGCGGAGGAGATGAGGAGGTGAAGAGACGGAGGGACTAGTCCAGGGCGGATGGCGGAGGGATTCCATGCAGGGGATCTGGCATAGTGATGGGTTGGCAGAAGGGCAGAGGCGTCGGAACTCCTGGAAGTCGAGATTATCACGCATGACAGAGATCCTCTTTCTCTGCCAGGTGTGATTCCGCCGCGCGCAGGCCACGACCACTGGGAATATCTCGTGTAGGGCAGAGGAAATGCTCCGGTGGAAAGTAGCGGCCACGGCCCGGCGACCCAATGGTCCTGGAAAAAACCCCCAAAACCCACGGAAGGGGCACGTCCGTGTAGAAGCGGAGACCTGTAGGGGCAGAGACATATCGGAGAGGGCCATTGATGTTGCAGGCGCCCTTACGCTTAGAATCTTGGGTTGAAGAGTAGATAATCAGGATAGTAGGATGGTCGGGAAAAGCCGTGTCTCGGACCGCATGAAGGTTGAGTGAGCAGTAGTGAAACGCTTATGCAGAGAAGCCACGGAAGGAGAGCAGGAAGATGCTGCGAGGAGGGCAGACATGTACTTGGAAGAAGAGCCGGAGTTCAGTGCCGCTCAGAGCCGCTGCAGGATGGGCAGCATGATGGGGAGCCTGCGATCAGAAGAGTGAAGAATACAGGTGTGGATGCCTTTGATTAGGAGTCCGATTGACGGCTCAGCGCAGCCACTCGGCCAGCTGCATCTGATAGAATCAGAAGATTAGGTAGAGAGATGAAGCATGACCGCCGAAGCGACCCTGGGAGCATAGGTGCGAGTCCAGCGCAGCGCGGCATGCTCGGCCGGGCTGCATCCATTAGAAGCAGGATAAGCTTCTGAGAGAGTGGGTTGCAGCAGTAGCAGTAGCAGTAGCAGCAGCGGCAGCAGCAGTAACCTCGGATAATAACGCAACAATCCTGTATCAAGCCGCGGCAGCAGCAGCTGCAGCACCCGTAGATAATAACGGCAAAAAACCTGTATCGAAGCCACAGCGGTAGGATATGTTGAAGCTGTTTAGTGTTTCAGAAAGAGAAGCGAAGTGAGGAGAGATGACAAAGTACATGAAGCAGCAGCAGCACGGCAGCAGTAGCAGTATGAAGCAGCAGCGGCAGCAGTAGCAGCAGTAGCGGTAGCAGTACAGAAGCAGCATTAGCGGGAGCAGCAGCACCACGATGCGATTCATACGAACAAACAGACGTGTCACGCCAGCGTGCGGCGCTTGACTCCGTGAGCCAGGTTACGTACGCGTCTGAAGGAGCCGAGCCGTAGAGACAGGTGCAGCCTGGGAGCCTGCGGAGCGGCAGCGGCTGCTTTGGTTATGGCAGATACGCATGAACGATCACTGATCCATGCGTTCATAGCTCCAACACCACTTCACACCCATTGCAGATTCACCTTGGGCCCTTTTTCATTCTGCTGCACTTTCAAAATGCAACAACTGCAGTTAGTTACCTAATTTAATACCAGCGAGCTAGCTATTTAAATGCATGGTTTTACTGCAAGTGGCAGAACATGAATCTGAATTAATGCACTTTGCTCCTCTTATATCCCTCAGACGATAGAGATTGATGCCATTTAATATGCATTGCCCCTCGGTTAGCTCAAACACATGTGAAACGGAGCCTGCAGACCAAGCACGGGGCGAAAAAACTGGCGCCTGCAGTCAAGAGCGCGGGGCAAAAACCCATCGCCTGCAGCCCAAAACTCCGGGATTAATCTGTCCGCGGTCAGCACACTCACTGTACTCACATGCCAGGAGACTTGGGAAAAGCAACGGGACAACGCGGCACCGCCAATCGAGGCAGGGACACGCACAGCACCGCCAGACCTTCTGCGTGCGGCAGCAGACCACGAGGAACGAGCCGCACAAAACCCGCGGAGGGCCCCGCGGAGCAGCCCGCAGAAAGAGCCCGCAGAGGAGGAGAGAAGGAGATATGCGAACCACAGCAGGTGCAGGGACGCAGAGGAGGAGCAGACCAGTGCAGGGACCAGACCACAAGCAGCCAGACGGAGGACGCCAGTGTCGCGCCGAGTAGCGTGAGTAGACGAAAACGATTCCTCCAGACGATTCTCTGCAAGGCTTCGAGGGCTTGCGAGGCTTCGAGAAGTGCAGGCTTCGAGAAGTGCAGGCTTCGAGAAGGCAGAGAGTGGGAGTTTCTCCGCTTTTAAGCGGCTTGCCTGGCCGGTGCGGTGATTGGAAGGGGCGTTTGCAGCGCGATAGGCTGGGGATGAGAACCGGCCTGGAGGGGTTACCTTTGGCTGACGTCTACCAAATTGAACTTTCGCTGGCTGCATATTTATATACTGTATATATATGTACAGTATGTATATGTGTGCAGGGTTGGATTGGCTGAGTGTCTGCGCTGGGATTTTAAGAGGGGTGTCCCAGACAGCACTCGCTCTCTCTCTCCGATTGTAGACACCTGGACCTGTCCAATGAGTCTGGGCCTGCACACCACGCCGCCAGCCACGCCACTCTACACTTTTACACACGCAGCCATTTACACATAAGGTTACCCTACTGATACTCATTTCAACCTGGAGAGACTACAAGAGACAAGATGCGTTTAAGAGTTGTTTATTTTATGGATTGAGTTTGTTTATTGGTTTGGAGCTTAGGCCCCGGCTGTGGCCGTGCTCTGAAGAGATCTGCCGACACCCTGTTACTGCCCGTTACTCAAGTCGCACAATTAACTTTTTTTTTAACTTCATGATAGGACTTGTGCGTGTGTTGTCATGAGAGAAGGGAGGATGACATAACCTCTCAGCAATTATTAGCTGA